AACCTTGAATGAATGTAAGATTGGGAAAGGGGAACCTACTAACCCACATGACTGAAGTCAGCTGTCACTTCAGGAGGAAATTGACATATGCTGTCTTTGTGTAAAAATGGAAAGGGTGAAACTGAGACAGGCAGCTCTCTGCTAATAGCAGATCTCAAATCAAGCATGAATCAGACTACAGTTCAACAATGGTATTTTTGATAGGTGACTATAAACTCACTACATCCTTTGGAACCCTTTTAACTGATTCACCGGTAAAAAAATACAGTAAGCTGCACAAGAAGTGAGAAGACAGGAACGACAGTATTCAACAAGACTGTATATGACAAGTACTCAACTACAGGATGATTTAATACCAATGATGTGATGTTCTCTAACACCCACAGAACAAATTTTCTTGCTGAGGTCATGCTACTTTTTACTAGATTATTTCCAGAAAATGTTTCATGTCTGGCATCCAGGAATTGTCTTGAACAGTGTGTTGCAACTACTGTCCTAGAAACAAGATCGCCTGAGAAAAGAAATTAGTAGTTATATGGAGACAATTTTGGGGTATGAAGATGCCATGGAAGCCACCATAGTATGGTATAGCATAGCATATTATAACAATGATTAAAAGTAACTATTACTTCAATTACTAAACATTAATTTTAATAGTAATTTAAATGGGAAATGGTAAGAACTTTGTTAAGCAATAAATACATTATAAGACATTTGATTAAACTGAAACATATCAGTATTTAGCAGTTAATACATTTTGTTCCCAAAATTTCAAAGGCAGTCAGAGCAGTGCATTTGCAGAAATCTATCACCAAGCACATTCAAGACACTAAATCTGCTTTCTATGACAATACTATCAGAGAAGGTTTTGTTCCTACTTCTATCTTCAGACAGGTTCATAGCTTAAAGATGGGACTGAAAGCCACGCATCATGGCTTGGTAGCCTACTTTCCTTAACCAAAGTAAGTAAACCTTCAAAAGCTTTGGTACTGAAATCTTTCTTCCCTG